GGAATCGCCTTGAAGCGCATTGTGGCGAGTGGCTCATCCAAAAGGGTGAACGACTACACTTGGCATGGAGTTCGCTGATCTAAACGCGGGGTTAGGTCGCAGAAATAACAAACCTTGGTCGGGTAAAACCCGAGCCATTCCAAGCCAAACGGCACGCACCGACGAGTGATCAACGGCATTTATAGGGAGTTGGCCACCATCTACCACCACTTTCGACCTATGAATACCGTGATCGGAGCCCAACAACCACCTGTGTCACACACGGAGCTGCAACTGCCAAGAGACCCGCGTTACTCTGGCCTAATTACGGTCTGGATATTGCAGCCATCACAACAGCTTGGTACCTGTCCAGACCCGACCCTAATATCTCTGTTAAAAAGTGTACGGCATGTGGAGACCCCCGCACAACACCAACCACCTCTTCACATGCCAGCTAAGTCCCAGTCATCTAACACCCCTCTCCCTTTGGTCCGACCGTAAAACCCCGTTTGTTGGGCCTACCGGTAGTTTAGCTTGACGACAACGATTGATGGACAAACCGAACTGAGCGAGGCTTAGTAGTGCCGCTACAACAACAACAACAACAACGACAAATATGCTTGACCACAAAGTCTTTCTTTGTCTTACCAAAAGTCTAACACTGAATTTTTATAATTTCTTTTCAATTCATCAAACCTCAATTTTTACCTTACCTAATTTCATCAACAAATTAAAAACACCGCAAAATTTTTGTTATTTAAAACATGTGATCGCTTTTATTTTCATATGTTTTGCATTGTTAGGAAATAAAAAATTTATATATATTTTTTTGTAACTAAAATAATGCGCAGGCTAACTTAAAAATACAAAAAAAAAAATTAGATAAATATCTGTGAAAAAAATGAGAATGAGCGAAAAATCAAAAATGCAATGAAAAAATGAAGTTAGTAACAATTTAATAGAAAAAAATTCAATCCGGTAAAAAAATTGAGGCGCACGAAGCGGGTACTCTCACTTACAACTATTTTGTATAAATGTTAGCTAAGAAGGCTTGCAATTTAAAACTTATATTTACTAAGTAAAGATACTAAATATATGTTTTAAATTCTTACAAAGCAGCAAGAAATGCGCAGACACAACTTATAGCGCAAATGAAAGTTTAGTAAAATCAAAATATATATTAATTTTTTAGTAACATCAAATGAAGGCAACTACGCGCTTGATTGTATTCAGTTTTTGTTTTTTTTTTTGCGTGAGTATGCGTGTGTGTATGTATGTATGTATATGTATGCATATGTATTTATGTTTATATGTTTATGTATATCTTACTAGCATTTTTGCATATCTTTTTTTACTTGAATGAGTTTTAATAAATTTATTAATAATAAATTTAATGTCAACATAACAGAAAAATATTTTTTAATAGAAACTTAGTGGTTGTTAAGCTTAACAATTAATATATGTATTTTATATAAAATAGGTTTTTAAAGTATTTATAATTTTTTCTTTTCCATATTTCAATCTCGTATGTGTGGAATACAACAAAATTTGCAAAAACTTTAGGTTAAGAACTAAGTTTCTATAACAAAGTACCACTTGGGTGTGTATGCATGTGTGTATAACTAATAATGTATGAAAGAGGTACGGCATTTAAGCATAAAGAAAACATAGCAAACATTTTTAATAGCATAACATATTTAGAAACCAAATTGCTTACTAATTTAAGCCAAAGGAGCGCAGGCTTTTTTTTTTGCTGATATTACAAGCGACGGCGAGTTTTGTTAGGATTTGAATTTAGTTACAGCTTAAATATAAAATAATTTTCTATACATAGATTTTCTTTCGACAATAACATAATTTAGTAAATAGAATGCTAGTTTTAACCAAGCTTACATATGTCGTGAAAGAGTATTTTTCCAATTACTTTTGTTTATTTTTTCTTGTTGAAATTGTTGGCCTTTTTGGAGTACTTAGATTTTTTTTGATTTTAATTTAATTTAAAGTGCTAAATAGTAGTTGTCGTTAGTATACATTGAAGATTGCTTACAAATTGCCGTGCAGTGTTTATTTTTATTTTTTGTTTTAATACATATTTGCGTAATTTATAAATAATTTTCGATAAATCAAGAACAAACTGTCTATTACTGCAGATTTTTTATGTAATTAGTTTTAGCTATTATTAGCCAACTTATGAGCTCTTTAAGAGATTGCTATTTGCCAGTTTTTTTTTTTCATTTTCAGCAAACTCAAATTTTCATGTCTCAAGTCGAAAATAACGAGGAACTAACAGTATGCTGGCGCTTTCCAAACATATTTTCACATTTTTTCACTTTAATTTTGACGCCCTAAAAGTAGAGTTCATTAATAGACAATCGTTTCAATTTAGTTCTTAACATGATAGTATTATGTCTTCACTATCTTCATTTCAAAATGAAGAATACCAATATGTCGATATTGCCAACGGCGAAGTAAAATTGTCGTTTTTATTTCGTTTTCAAACGACAACGCCAACGGAAATTAAGTCAAACATATTTTTATGTTTGCATATTTTTGGGCGAAGAGGTTATAACAGTGGGAATATGGCTGCTGATCTCTGGATATTGATTGAGCGTTCAATTTGATTTGCCTTTAACGAAAAAAAAAATAAATATATGCTGCAGTGAGCTTCTTGAAATACACATAGCTGCTCAAATTATATCTGCTAACGTACTTTTAGGCGCATTCTTTTCTTTGCTTTCCGTAGTTGTCCCTGGCCTGACCGTTTACCTAAAAAAAATATTACTTTTAACATAGAATATATTTTCATTATAGGTCTTTGGAGATTTTGTTTTTGTAACGTGATAAAAAAAATCGCCAAAAGTTTACGATGATGTGATTCCTATACATTCCAACTGGTTTTCCCCAATAAGTTTGAACTGACTGTCTTAAACGAAGTCGGTTTAGCTATTTTCAGACGATATTCAAAGTTTTAATGAAGTATATAACTCTATATAGTTTTAAACACTCGACTCAACAAGGAACTCACACTGTTCGAGTCTTCTTTACATCAGCCCTTCTGATACGAAAAACCATCAACTCAACGCATCCTCAGAGACTTGCTGGACAATAAAAATTAGTTGGCAAGATCTTACAACCAAGCTTTAATCCTAAATAAGTCTGGGGCACTATAAAATTGATTTTATTTATTACTGTAAGCTTTTTTCTGTGCTCTGATGAAATTGCAGGGGACCCAAGAATCACTAAGAGCCATCAGGGCTCGAATCATCACATTCGATATCGTATTACTCGTCACGTAAAATCAGATTTTTAGAATTCACTTATCCCATTCACTTTTTCCGCTGTCATATCACGTAATTTTCCTTCGTATGGTTTTCGATCCGTGAACGGATGTCACGATTCGATTTCTACACCAGGCAACTGCTGCATTCAACTAAAAGTTGCGAGAAAATCGCCTCATGCGAATTCCCCGTAAACGATTACAACTCCTGTTGGTGGCCAACGTTGCTCTACTAATACACTGATGGTAGTGCGGTGATGGCTAAAACCGCGTGCATGAGCTTCTGCTTTTATTTCGTCGTGATATGTGAATAAGTATGAGTTAGAGTAATCGTACACACGTACTTTTAAGTAACTGATTTGAAATGTAAATGGAAGTTAAACATAATTGTCGGTTTTTGATAGGTAGTTGCGAGTTTGGATGCGTTGGCCAGACCGTTATTACGAGAAATGTCTACGAAATTGTTTGAATCTATAAAACGGATATAAAGTTCAGCTCTAATACTTGTGTGTAACATAAACTTTAGCATTTTTATTTGACATTGAGAAATCATTTATAATTCAGCTATTATATGCATATCTAGCTTTTCGAAAGGTCGCATTTTTGCCATGTAAGTTGAAATCGTGTACTAAGCATTTAAATGCAAACAAAATTATGACAAAAAATTAACTACAACAAAGTCAAGGACTGTCACTCCAAAACATCTTTGGGGACTTTTTATGTCGTTGCAACAACAACCTGCACGCAATTCAAAATGCTGCCACTGTTGCAAAACTGTAGTCTCAGACCAATGTATTAACGACAAACGACACTAAAAAACGCTTAGCAGTGCTTATATAATTAAGCATTTTTGTCTTTATGTGTATTAAACATCAGCGAAGATATATAAGTCTGCATTTGCTGCTGTAATAGTCGGCTACATAACATTGAATAATTCGAAAACCAAGCGATCCAATTAATAATAAACACATTCACATATACATATGTTGTAACTTTAACAAACAATAACTTAACTATTCAAGTTAGTAAAAACTCTCTCTCGACTCAACTCTGCCTCGCGCAAATGTAGCTACATCCCAGTCAACTATGTACTTACATTTAACCGCCTCCTTGCCGGCTGCTTGCACTATATATGCATATTTGTGTTTATTTTTCGTTCATGTATTATTTGTAGTATATAGTGTGTTTATTTGTTGCTCAACCATGCACTTGTTGCCTAAAACTAAATAAATTATTGTATTTATGTAATTAATTTATATTCATAAATTTACGTCGCCGTCGCACCTCCTCTTATGGTTCAATACAGAATATACTTGCTTTTTAAATTTCTTTTTTCTTTTCTTTTTTTAATTCTTGTTTCATCATTAAATTCAATTTATTTTTCAGTATGCAATATTGTTATTAAACTAACATAATTCTCATTGCCGACATGCATCTTTCATTTGGATTTAGATGCGCTTATTACTCGATTTCGATTTCAATTTCATTTGAATTTTCAGTTTCAACTCTTCTTTTGTTTCTTGTTTTTGTTTTTTCTTTGAGTTTTGGTATGTAATAATTTAAGAATATATAGTAAAATGTATATTTAGCATAAATACCAGTATATGGGTGTGTTTATGTATGTAGTATATGTATATTTATGTATGCATGTAGCTGTGTTTGGATGGTGTGTGTGTATGTAATAATATGTAGTAGCAATTAAGTGTAATACATTAGTAGTAGTATGTAATATTAGTTTTTTTTTCTTGCAGCTTGTTTACTCCGCTTTCCCCACCAGTGGTCTATCATCAGCTTTTAACGCAAACCGACGATAAGCTTCTATTAGATTTTAACGCGTGTTTGCATTCGTTCTGTGGCATGTCCTGCTGGTGCTGCTACTTTTTTCCATGCTAATTAAACTTATTTATATTTTCGTATATAGGTTTGCTTATTGTTGTTGTAGTTGCTGCTGTTATGCTAGTTTACTTCATTTAAATATGATGTTTCTTCTACTTTTATGTTTTACTTTTTTCGCGCTTTTCTTTTACTACCTTCAGCGTTTGCTGGTAGCGCTTCAAATACTGCAAATTAATTGCAACTCTGCATTTGCCTTGTTGTTTGTTTTCTGCTTTTTGTTTTGATGCCGCTAAACAATGCTTTTTCGCCAACGGAAACACTAGCTACCGCGCTCTATCGCCAACTTGCCGCTTTCATATTCAACCTATGTATGTATGACTGCCTATAAGTAATACCCCCACATGCTTTCTCCCATCTAAGCGTGATTTTCCTTTTTGTAAACCGCTAACTTAGCTTGTAAGTGCTGCAGGCGATTTGGCGACAACTCTGGTTTCTAAAAACAAAAAAAAAAGGAAAATTAACGCAATTAACAAAACATAATCGCAATTAAAAAACTAATAATTTCCCTTACACTCGCATCTCTTCGTATAAGCGAAGACATCTTCTGTTGCGCATTCATTGTATTTAAATTCAGATTTTCATCTGCCACCTTATTGTCCATGAGCATTGAGTGCGTGCCACTCATGCCGTCAGCGTTACGTCCGAGATTTGCTTTCGAAAGGAGATGATTTAAGCGATCCATCCAAAAATCGGGATCCGCTGTCTTGACACCGCCTGCGCTACCGCCACTACTGCTGCCCAAACCGCTAGCAGCGGTGGTTTGATGTTGGAAATTGGCATCTGTTAGATAAGAGAATCGTGATGAGGCTGCACAAGTCAAACACACATAGTATTGGTGGTGTTGAGAGGGTTGTTGATGGTGTGTGTGGGCGTGTGGTGTCGTCGGCAGTGCGTATGATGGTTGAGTGGTGATAACGTTGTTTTT